CAGGCTATAATTCCGTGCTTTGAATTTTTATTGATAGCCATTTTTACCCCTTTGTTTCGACTGCGGTTCAAGTAATTTTTCAAGGGTCACAAAACCTTGCTGTCTGAATTTGCTGGGCTTAGGTGTCATCCCATTGGACGGTCACATACCCGCAGCAACTCAATATAAAGCTCAAATGCTTCGAATAGGGCCGATTTGCCGTTTTGCTGAAGACATTCCGCTTCTAGTCAAGGTGAGTGGATTCAAAAACACATTTTTTTATCTTATGCGGAGATTGTTCATAAAGTATTTATATTATACAAGTTACCTGTATTGCAATTACGTTTTTTAATGAAAACCTCAGTTGTAAAAAAGATACTTTGTCTTTGAGGTCATCATCAAAAAGATATACCTTTTGGATTAGGTAATGGGTGGCGATCGTGTTCCGTCGCTGAACCTCGACGAGCCTGTTTCAATGCGAAAATTACGTATCTTTTACATGGAAGGTATTACCGAAGTGCCGATGATGCAACCTCTAAGCTGGGACATGAGGACAACTCTTCGAAAAGTATGTTTATGTGGTTACTAACCGACAACTCTTCACATTCATTGTTACCACCAGTTTTACAAAAATGCAGATGACTGTTTTCTGACCGTCTTTTGAGAGTGACATTTACTCAGAGGGCAATTCACAGGCTGTTGGTTATTTCGAGCGTAAGTATGATCTCGTTGCCCATCGTATGGATTTACCGTTGGCTCGTTGTGCCATCGAAATGTTTGTTGTCAGCATGTACATCAAAGGCGGACCAAAGTTATCCGAATATATGCTATGCTCTGAAGTGAGTACTACTCTGTTATATACTCTTCTCATAAGACTTTAGATTTAAACCGTTTTTGAATTCAGGCTTCTAAGGGTGGTGTAAATCCGGGTTGGGAGTTAGTGAAATTCTTTTTGGGTAGATCGAATCATACGCTCCCCGGAATTATTGGAGCGATAGTCGATGACGCGGATGCATTGACTGATGAACAGAAGAGAGAGGTCTGCATAGCTTTCATTTTGTCATATCATTTATTTATTGTGCTTTTCATAATTTATTCGATTTTTTTTTNNTTTTTTTTTGAAAAATCTGTAAACAGCAGTTCACCTTATCTTAGCTTTTTTTAATTTTAGATATGTTACAAGCGCGATCGGTTGATTCGTGAATTGAAAGAATTACTAGGTTCGGACGGCATCTTCCTATTCCCAAGGTATTCATTGTTTTCATTAATTTGTTCATTCATCGTTTCTGTGGCTATTAACTTGACTTGGAAGTCAATTTCCAAAAGCCTCGGCTCAGCATTGTGAGGTTTCTCTAATGCTTTTTCTTATATATAAAAAAATTACACGATCTTTTGATTTGTACACCCTCGATTCGGACTATTTTCTAAAGTAAATTTTCATATATTCGCATTTGATACGAATTGATTGCAGTTGGCCGTGTACAGCGCTCTACCATAATCAACCGCTTATGGCTCCTATAAACTTTGGGTACACGGCGTTGTTCAATGCCATAGCTTTCCCAGCCATTGAGTGTCCGATGGGTTTGGATAAGAATGGTCTGCCCTTGGGAGTGCAGGTGAGATATTGGAGAGACCTTTGCCTTTCCTTCCTAATTTGCTTTTTCTCGAAGCTAATTCCCAGAGGTTTTATTTGTT